CCGCCGCGGCCGCGGCCGCGCACTTGGGCGGTCCTGATTCCGGCGCTTGCGAGTGGGGGGTACGGCTGGGTCCCGCAGGCCTGGCGGGGGCTGGGGGGCATGGGCCGGGGCCTCGCGGTCAAAGCTCCAGCATCTCTGATATAGCTAGTCTGTAAGGTGCAGCTCTGATATAGTCGAGTCTCTAATGTGTGCCTCTGATGTATCAGTCTAGAAGGTGGAGCTCTGATGTAATCAGTCTGTAAGGTGCAGCTCTGATATAGTCAGTCTCTAAGGTGTACCTCTGATATATCGCTCTAGAAGGTACAGCTCTGATCCAGCCCGTCTACAAGGTGCAGCTTAGCTCTGCCTTCCGTTGGGCTCCGTTGCCAGGACATGCGGACAGGGTCAGAGCCCAGGGCTCAGTATCCTGTGCCTCAAAGACCAGCCAGCTGAATCGCAGCTTGGAAGAAGGTCCATGGCCTTTCAGAGGAAGGTTTCCCGTAATCCGAAGGGAATGGAAACAGACCTGCTTTCCTTATACACAGTCGCGGAGCAGGAAGAAGGACCAGGGAGAGACTGGATATGGCCTGCCGTGACGTTGCCATGAAGTCGCAGAATCATAGACCACAAAAGTGGAAGGGACCTCAGGTGGCCACATCAAGTCCAACCCCTGCTGCAAGCAGGACCAGCCCCAACTACATCATCCCAGCCAAGGCTTTGTCTACCTGGGGCTTAAACACCTCCAAGGAGGGAGACTCCACCGCCTTTCTGGGAGCCTCTTCTAGTGCTTCAGCACCCTCTGGCTCAGGCAGGTTTTCCTAATATCCAACCACCACTTCCCTGGAAGTCCTGCGTCTACATCTGTGCGTGCATGTAGGCACATACCTATACGTGGATGCGCATACATACCTCTTTATGCATGCATGCATGTGCATAAATATACATATGTGCATCTGTGCATATACACACATGGATACCTGTACATACATATGCATGAACATACACACGTGATTTACATATATGTATGCATGTATCTGCATATATAGACATGCACAGATGCATGTATGTATATTTATGCATATGCATACATGCGTGCGAACCCATACAGATACATGCAGGCATATCTATATGCATGCATATATGTACGCATGCCTGTACATATAGATATGGGGGTGTGTATGTGCGTGCGTGCATGCATGTGTAGGTGTTTATGCATATATATAAACACACTCATGCATATACATTCATCTCCATGTGTTTGTATATACCCGATGCCAAGGGGCACAGCACCCACACCAGGCCTGTCCCCGCTCTCCCCCCGCTGCTCCCAGCCCCCAGAGACCTGGAGGGAGGGGTTGGGGTGGAGGCCTGCCCCCGCTCCCCCCACCCCATTGCTGTCCCCGAAGCCCCGCCTTCTCCTTCAAGCCTCGCCCC